CGGCTAACTCATTAGATTTATCTACCTCTTAAAGTTTTTCAACCTTATGCATTCCAGGTGAAGACTTAGACCTAGAGGAAGAAGCATGTTGCACTGAGTTTTCACTTAGGGCCTCAAACAGTTCCCAAGCATCAGCCGGACTCTTACGCAGAAAATCTCCATTACTGGAAGCATCTACCATGTTTCTATACGAATCAGTAAGACAATCATAGAATATATGTATTAAGTGCCATTGAGCAATATCATGGTACGGACACTTTCTCAGAAGATCATTATATCTCTCCCATGCATCATGAAGCTGTTCTCCCAGGATTTGGGAGAATGCCATGATTTCTCTCCTCATTTGTGTGGTTTTACCCACAGTGTAATATTTCTCAAGAACTCCTATTGCAACATATCCCATATAGATATGGAATTTGTTGAAAGGGATTGCTACCAGGTTCTTGCTTTATCTTTAAAAGAGAATTGAAAAAGACGCATTCTGAATGAATCATTAGATAAAGTATTCAACTTAGTAGTTGAACACAATTCCAAAAACACATCCAAGTGCTTATAGGGATCCTCTGTTGCATATCCATGGAAGGTAGGAAGCATTTGGATCATGGCAGGCTTGATCTCAAAATGGGTTGCATCAGCATCTGGAAAAACAAAGCATGAAGGAGAAGTATATGTGGTAGGAATGAAATGGTCCCTTATTTGTTGTTGTGGAGGAACAGATGGAACCTACTCTCTATTGCCATTACCATTATTACCCGATGCATTATGTTGTTCAGCCATAGTTTCAGAGGAACTATCTATATTATTTAAATGTTTTTTAAGCTTTCTCAACTAACTCAAAGTTCTTTCTATTTCAGGATCATGCACTAAAGGTTTTGACCTAGTTTAGCGAGTTAACATGCACTGGTTCCACTAATCCAAACAGTAGCAAAAAGAAAATATTCCAAGTACAGAAAAATAATAAGAACTCACAAAAGGTTTTATAAACCAAAGCTTTTCTCCCTTAAGCGTCTTTGTCCTCACCGCTAATTTGTACCTGAAAAGAAAAAGAAGTAAGATGAGATATCAGAAAGTCCAAAGACTGGTAAACCAAAATAACTAATTAAAAACTAAAACAAAAACTAATCTCCCCAGCAATGGCGCTAAAAATTGATGTGTCTATTTTTCTCTCGTAATCGTAAGATATTGTGTAGGATATAGCTTTATGCAAAGAGGATGTCAAACCCACAGGGAGAAGAGATTTGTATTCCAGTTTTTAACTTCGTTTATGGTTTACAGGTAACTTGGTTGGAAAGTTTGTTGGTTGTCACGGTTTAACAAACTAGAATTAAAACAAAATATTAAATTATTAAACTAAATTAAATAATTAGAGAGAGAAAGTCTTATGGCTTTGATTTCACCACAACCATCATATTATGGTTAATTATACTAACTCTGGGAATTTAACTATGATATTTTCCAAAAGAATTGAACTCAATAACATTCATTCAATTCAGAGTTAAAGAAAGATGTTTTATAAGATTAGTTAACTATAACCTATCTGCGGTTAGCGTGGACTATTCGCCTACCTACTTTAACTACTTTGCAAATGAACCACATTTCCTAATCATAGATTAAGAAAACATTCTTTTGTAAAATACGTTGGAATACCATTATATGACCTCTATTCTTGTGTTCGATAGGGGTCTGCCAGATATCGTACTACAAGGTAGGTTGAGAATAGAAAACAGACTATTACATCTAAGACAAGGTAGTAACAATTTATAATCTATTAAAGCATGAAAAATCCACTTGAGTTGTCTCAAGTGCTCATCGTCATATAATCAAGAAAATGTCATAAATTAAAGTAAAACCCAGAGTTAAAACAATCAAACCATAATACAAAGTTGGGTTACATCAGTGCCCTAAGAAATGATTTAGCTACTCATGACAAGGTTGGATATCATCTGTGTTGAGTTCATCTCCATTGTTACGGACGGCACCTCTCTTCTCAGGATCTTCACTTTTAAGGTTGTAGAAACCCGAAAAGCCACCACATCTTCAGCCTTCTGAATAATCACCGTAAAAGAGATTGAAATTTCGGACCTCTTCTATCAAGGCTTACTCCTTCTTTTATAGAAGAAAATATGTACTTGGTGGGCTTTTAGGTCTTCTGGCCTAACTGGGATGAGATACGGCTGATAAAGAGAGTAATCCCGTAGCTTTTAGTTTGACATGTCATGCAATGCTCAAGCTTCAGGAACAAATGCTCAAGCTTCTCTGGATAGCTGCTCGAGCATCAGTGAATGGTGCTCAATCATCACATTGACACTTAGCCAATTTTCTTCAACTATTTTCCGAAGCGTCTTTTTCTTCAACACTTAGAATATTTTTGGGATTGAACTCCTTTAACATTACTCGATCCAAGCTTCATGGACTCGAGCACTAAGTACCATGCTCGAGCATCAGGGGCTCATTGCTCGAGCATCAATGGATGATGCTCGATCCTCCGTGGATAGTTCTCGATCATGGGGGTAATGCACGAGACCTGGAGTATAGCCTTTTCATTTAAAATCAACTCATTAATTTTCAATGCCTCATGCTCGAGCTTCAGGGTCAAGGCTCGAGCACCTTTAGTTAAGGCTCGAGCACCCTTGTAGTAAGGCTCAAGCATCTTTGCAGTAAGGCTTGAGCATCAAGGTACTGATGCTCGAGCATTTGGCCTTATTGATTTATTTATTTATTTATTATTATTATTTTTTTGTTGTTGTAATGCTCAAACTTCAACACTTGGGCTCGAGCTCTAATGCTTCAATTGCTTCAAACTTCACCAATTTAGCTCTTGGCTTGCTCTGAATGACCGGCAATGACTCTGTAAGCTTTGATATCATCATAAAGTTCCAATTTTAACTATCTTTCTGGGAAAGTACCTACAAACATATATTAAACATAAATTAGTCTAACTATGGATAGAAGTACCACTTTAGGCCTTAACTTATACGTAATTAGGGGCTCGAATATGCATATATTCAGCACTCATCATAACAAAGTGAACCACAAGCCACCAACTGATTTTAAAAAAATTTAAGCATCCCTTTTCACAATATTTTGGCATACAAACCAATTTTAACTAATATCAGACTGCAAACAGAGTATATGACCGTCAATAGACTCAAACTCATGCTTATAACATCAAAAATCATGACCTTGTGTGATAAAAAATATCAAAAATTTTAGGTACATACCTTTTGTCATTGTAATATAGTGGTGAGTATTCCCGCCTGTTACGTAAGTGACCCGGGTTCAATCCCTAGTAACGGCACCAAAAGTTGTTGTATTGAATTTTCGCTTAGGGCCTCAAATAGTTCCTAAGCATCAACTGGACTCTTACGTAGAAAGGCTACATTACTGGATGCATCAACCATGTTTCTATCAGAATCTGAAAGACTATCATAGAAAATCTATATTAAGTGCCATTAAGTAATATCATGGTGTGGACACTTTCTTAGAAGATCATTATATCTTTCCCATGTATCATGGAGCTGTTCTCCCGAGATTTGGGAAAATGCCATGATTTCTCTTCTCATTTGTGTGGTTTTACCCATAGTATACTTTGTCCTTGAGAGAAAATTGGAAAAGTCGCATCTGAATGAATCATTGGTAAGAGTGGTCAACTTGGTAGTCGAACACAATTCCAAAAATACATCTAAGTGCTTATAAGGATCCTCTGTTGTAAACCCATGGAAGGTAAGAAGCATTTGGATCATAGCAGGCTTGATCCCAAAATGGGTTGCATCAGCATCAGGAAAAACAAAGCACGAAGGGGAAGTATGTGGTTGGAATAAAATGATAACTTAATTGTGGTTGTGGTGGAGGAACAGGTGGAACCTATTCTCTATTACCATTACCATTACCATTGCCATTACCCGGTACATCACGCTGATCAGCCATATTATCAGAGGAAATTCCTATTGTATTCAAATGTCTTTTAAGTTTTCTTAATTGACTAAGAGTTCACTCTATTTCAGGATCTTGCACTAAAGGTTTTGACCAAGTATGGCGAGTTAACATGCACTAATTCCAGTAATCCTAATAGTAATAAAAATAAAATTTTCCAAGTAATAGAAAACAGTATAAACTCACAGAAGGTTTAATAAACCGAAGCTTTTTATCCCTTAAGCATCTTTGTCCTCACTGCTAATTTCCTGTACTTGAAAAGAAAAAGAATTAAGGTGAGATATCAGAAAGTCCGGAGATTGGTAAACCAAAAATAGAACTAATTAAAAACTAAACTAATAAAAAATCTCCCCAGCAATGGCACCAAAAGTTGTTATGTGTTTTTGCATACTACTTATAAATTTACCACTTGTAACAGCATGAATCCTTATAGGATAGCACTATAGAAAGAGGGTCAAACCCACGAGAGATGCGTTATTATGTTTTGCTTTTAACTAATTTTTATTGGTTCACAGGTTACTGATTGAATTGATTGATTGGTTTTCATGATTATAAACTGAAAGTAAACTAAAATTAAACTACAATTAAACTAGAGTGATCAGAGAGAGAAAGGTCTTAGGGCTTTGACTTCACCACAACCTTCGTAACTATGGTTAAATGTTTCAACTCTGGGGATTTAATCAAATTATATTTCAAATGAATTGAACTCAATAATATTCATTCAACTCAGGTTTAAAGAAAGATATTTTATAAAATTCAGTTAACTATAACCTATCTGCGGTTAGCATGGACTATCCACCTACCTACTCTAAAAACTTTAACTACTTTGTAAACAATACATCTTTCCTAAGCATAAACTATGAAAACATTCTTTTATAAAAAATGTTAGAATACCATTACATGACCTCCATTCTTATGTCCGGTAGGGCTCTGCCAGATACCATCCAATAAGAATGGGTTGAGAATAGAAGACGAACAGTTATATCTAAGATAAGGTAATAACAATTTGAAAACTATTTAAAACATTAAATCCGATGAGTTGTCTCAATTGCTCATAGTTATGTAATAAAAAACATAATATTTATTTAAAAATATCCCAGAGTTAGAACAATCAAACCATAGTACTAGATTGGGTTACATCAGTGCCCTAAGAGAGGAATTAGCTACTCATGACGATGTCGGATATCATCTGTACTATAGTCGTCTCCATCATCACAGACAACACTTCTCTTCTCAGGATCTTTACCTTCTAAGGTTATGAAAACCCTAAAAGCCACCACACTATCAGCTTTCTGAATAACACCGGAAAAAGGACTTAGAATTTTAGACCTCTTCTATTAAGGCCTATGCCTTCTTTTATAGAAGAAAATAAGGATCTGGTGAGCTTTTAGGACTTCTGGCCCATCTGGAGTGAAATATGACTTGAAAAGGAATAATCTCGTAACTTGAAATCTAATCTGCCATGGAAAGCTCAAGCTTTAGGAAATCGAGCTCGAGCTTTGAGGTTCAGGCTTCGAGCTTTGGGAGTAAGGCTCGTGCTTCTCTGGATTAATGCTCGAGCTTCAAGGACTGATGCTCGATCTTCACTTTGACACTTAGCCAAATTTCTTCAACTATTTTTCGAAACGTCTTTCCCTTTAACACTTAGAATATTTTTAGGATTGATCACTTTTAACATTGCTCGATCCAACCTTTATGGGCTCGAGCACTAAGTACCAGGCTTGAGCTTTAGGTACTCAAGGCTCGAGCTTTGAGTGACGGTGCTCGATCCTTGAGTCTTGGCACGAGGCCATGGGATCTTGGTTCTTCTATTAAATCAACTCTTTAAATTTTGACGCCTTGTGCTCGAGCTTGAGGGCCAAGGCTCGAGCACCGTTAGGTAAGGCTTAAGCACCTTCTATTAGGGCTCGAGCTCTGAGGTACAAGGCTCGAGCTTCAATGCCTCGTTGACTTTTCTTCTTTTTTTGTTGCACGGGTCCAGCCCAAGCTCTAGTTCTTGAATTCCTCCAAACTTCACCATTTAAGCTCTCGGCTTGCTCCGGATGACTGGCAACGACTCTGTAAGCTTCGATATCATCATAAAGTCCCGGTTTTAACCATTTCTCTGGGAAAGTACCTATAAACACACATCAAACATAAATCAGTCTAACTACGGATAAAAGTGTCACTTTAGGCCTTAACATACGTATATTTTGGGGCTCGAATATGCAATATTCAACACTCATCAATGTGCTTACGTGGTTATGTGCTTATGTGGCTGCATGATTGTAATACCCCTAGTTTTAAAAAGGATACAATGGGAATTTAAATTTGATTTTATTGCATTTTTATTTCATTATGTGATTTATGTGCTCATTTGCGTAATTGTTTAATTGTTTTTTTATTTTAAATTAATTGTGTATTTGTTCTTGATTCTAAATTACTTGTTTATTTGTTTTAAAGTAATTGTTTAATTTTAATAGTGTATTTGTTTTAAAGTAATTGTTTAATTTTAATTATTTAGTTGTCTAAATTAATTGTTTTATTGTGTCTTGTATATGTTATAGGATTAGGGTTTTTTTTATATAGTATGGACACAGACTTATATTAGGTTTTAAATTAAACCCGGTAAATATAGAGTTACGTAGATTAGGGTTTGGGACGTCTATATATATTTTTCTTTTAAGTCTGCTAGGGTTGGGAACAATCCTACTCACGTAATATTTATGAGAAGGAAAACAGAGGCTCTAGACTGGTCTTGAGAGAAACATAGAGGGTCTCAGGTGATTTTCTGTGAGGCAAAAGGAGGAAGATTGGAGGAAGAACAGAGGGGTTGCTTCTGGATGGAACCAAGAAGCAATAGAGGAAGGGAACTGTGAGCAGAGCAGAGGGGTAACAGACTTGGAGAATTCTGAAACTTAGAGACGACGCTTAAGGTTTCAAACTGGAATCGTGAGGCAAGTTTCAGTCTATTCCTCTCCTGTAAACTTGTGTTCTGTGCATCTTATATAGATTCCAGGAACTTAATTAAACATTTAAAAATGGACTTTATGCATACTAGATGATTTCGGTAATCTGTTCTGTGTTTCTTTAACGTTCAAACTTATTCTTGCATAAGCTGTTGTGTGTAGTTTAAGTTTTTGTCAATTGGTTCACACTGGAATAGGAGGAGTCTCTAGGGGTTTAAGAGCTTTAATGGAACCCTAATAATCTTAAAAAGGTCTGGAATAGGACACCGGACTTCGCCGGAATCACAGACGACAACCGGACGAAGCAGAACGAAGCAGTTGAAGTAGAGGAGGCTCTCAAAGAGAGAGAGCCGGCTCTAGGAAGCAAAGAGCCGGCTCCCCCTCTATTAGAGCCGGCTCCAAGGGTTATGGGAGCCGGCTCTATGTAGGTTAGAGCCTGCTCTACGTTTCTAAGAGCAGGCTCTGTGATTCTATGTACTTACTGGAGTGGTTTGTGCGTTGTTTGGCTCGTTGGTGATTTTTCTAAGCTGTGTTTGGGCTAGGCAGATGAAGTTATATATTAATTCATAAAATATTAGAGCCCTAGGATGTATTAATTTATTTATATGCTAATGTATTAAACGGTGGGAAAATCTAAGACAAGTCGCAGACTGTTTACGGACATAACGAATTGTGAAGGTTTAATTGCTTAAACCGTGTCTAGCAATTAAAAGAGTTGGAACATGGATTCCAAACATTACACCATGCTATATTAGAGCCACTTCTAATAAATTAATGTCTTAGTACTCATGGAATTAACTGTAGGGAAGTATACAACGGTACAAGGTAAAAATATGCGACTTTGTACGCTGCTAACGGATAGGAAGGACTAATTCGCTAAGTCTTGTTTTAAAATTTTAACGGACTGTTGCATGGTGTCTAAACAGGATATTATGCTATATTAGGACTCACAATGCATAATTTAATCTAATATGCTAAAGGTTTCACAGTGTGGGAGTTTTAAGTAATGACACACATTTTTGGTGTTTATAAAGTATCTAGTTGTGTAAACTTAATTTAGCAACTTAGATGACTGGAGGATGGTTTTGAAATCTATGTTGGGTACAGAATAGGGTCATGTGTCTGTTAGACCTTATTTGTGCATAGGTTGGATTTTAATTAAGGAACTAATAAATTAGGTTTCATTAATTAAATGGAGATCGTTATTTTAATTGTTGAACCGTTCTATCTGTTCCAGCAAATATTGGTTAGAACTGTGGATTTTCTGAGTTATAGTTTGTCATTCTCAGATTTATAATTGACACTTTACTATTGTTAATGTTGCCAACTGCGGGATTGTACTATGGGTTAGTTGAAATTTCAGTTAAATGAATTAAATTGTCAATGACATGGATGGATACTGGATCTTAACTTGATGAATTATTAAACTTTGTCTTGTTAATCACATGGATGGATTCTGGATTACAAGTTGATGAACTGTTTAAACTCTGTATATCAACTATTTGGATTACGTGGGTATGATTTGATGAACTGTTGAAAATGTTGCATCAATCAAAGATCATTTGCATTATATGTACCGGTATGGGGCGGTGACATATCAGGGATGGATTAGATCAAAAAGCTAAGTCCTACCCCTTCATACATAAGGAATGGATTAACTAAAACAGTTAAATCTTACATGGATGCATGTCCTGTCAACTAAAATAGTTGAACGACATAATAGATATTTATTTTATCTTTCTGCACTAGGAAGGAATATTTATATATATTTATAGTACCGTGATACGAGCTTGAGTCTCCTGATCACAGTTAGGGTACGTATATTGCAAAGGTTGAGTAGCTAGATATAGCTAATGTTCCCTGGTAGGTCTAGGTACTTGGCCGCTGAAAAGCGTGTTTTATATGTCACCTTTTACCCAGGCTGAACTATGTTATAGGCTAGTGAGCATCCTATAGCGTGTGTGTGTATATATATATATATATATGGACTATTGTAGATATTGCCGAGCTATCTAGGATGTATCTGCGTATCGGGTTTATGTACGGATTGTAGTAGATTGGAACTTGCATGTGGGCCTGACCCACTCCTATTTTTCAGGTATTTACCAGTACCAGGCTTAGAGTTTGTTCGTGTTGATGCAGATACAGACACTCACTCTTCCGGTTACATAGGGTTTCCTTTCTATTTTGGTTTTGGATTTTCATACTGTAAATTTATTCAAGGATTTGGGATCAGGGGTCCACTAGGTGGATTTCTGAGTTGTACAGATTTGAAGGATTTAAATGTTATTAACTTTATTATCTTAAGTTGAGGTTTTTTTTTTATATTTTAGAATTCTTTCAGCGTTTTGTTATTTTAATCTTAATTCAAATTTTTATTCCTGCTTGTTTACATATTAATTGTCTGACATCCCTCGGATCTGTGCTCGGACTTGATCACCCGTGGCTCTAGAATCAAAGGGTATCACAGTTGGTATCAGAGCATTCCAGGTTCTAGTGTCCATAGAAGTGTCTTTTGTTAAAAGTCTTCCGCGTTGCGTCTCTTAAAAACTTAGAGCCATATTAGGATTCGTTATACTCTTTCACGGTTCATTAGGAAGAGCTCCTGATGTCAATTATATTCCATAAGTATGGAATGGTTGACACTAGAAGGAGGATGGGGTCTGCGGTGACAGCAAATCAAACCGAAGGAGTAGAGGAGTACGTTATCGAGTTCTCTATCAGAAGCAGAACTTGGGATTTAAAGTTTAGTTCCGGTTGGCGCTACTTTTAGAAGTATAAGCCAAGGTGGGATATAGGAGTGTGTTTTAGGTCCCCGTATAAAGGGACTAACACGATTTTAGTTATTCTTATAAAGGAGACAACCGAGGAATAGGAGTCCAAAGAGGATTCTAGTGGAGGAGATTTCAACAAACCCAAGAAAGAGGGTATTAAATGTTGAAAATCAAGGATCACGTGAAAGTGATCTTGTTCGCTAATAGTATAGTGAACGATACTCATAGAGTTGAGGTGGATAGTTAACCTTGTGTATTACCTTTAAATGAGGTAGATAAAGAGAACTCTTTAGGGGCTCAGGAATCGGATAAAGTTCTTCTAAGAACGAAGCAAAGATTATATAGCACGTTCTGGGGAGTATGGGGATTAGGTTTTGACGATCTAAGTTGCTTTATACAGCTACATTAGACGGTTTGTATTCTTTGTATAAGGAGGATGAAGGTTAAGCCTTTGGCATTTGCTGAGGCAAATGGAGTTGGTTTTGAGCTATATTTCGAGGTTGGTGATTACTTCTGAAACTGTAGAAAGGAGATTGTGAACCAATCGGGTAAAGTTAATTTCTAAAAGAGATTTTCTTTGCTAGGAGGAACGATGTTTTACGTAGGAGTTTATTGTGTTTTATTGTGTGTGCTTTATGTGTTTCTTTTTCGTCAAGTATCAGTTAATTACCGTTTTGGGAGGAATAACGTTAATTACACTAGGATTTTGGGCATGTGGTCATAGGATTGGGTAAGTATATCTAACTTTAGCCAATCTAATGAACCTAGACATGCGTGGTTATAGTATGTGTTCAGGATGGGATAAGTAAACCAGCAGTTTGAGTCAAATGATATAGATTCATTTGATAAGCTGTAACATCATGCTGGTTTATCGGAGGAACTGGCTTGGCTGAATATCTTCTAGGAAATTTTAAACAGGTGTTCCCAAGTCAATGGGAGGATTTTGTACTGGTTTAAGTACTTAATGGAACATCACCAACGGAGGATAGTATACGGATTAACTATTCATCAGTTTATCTTTAATTAAGAATTTTCTTTCATGAGGGGGTGTCATTAGGAGGAATTGCTGGAGGTGTATATTGAGGATGAAGCAAAGTCTTTTCATTGGCATAAATAATGTGGAATTTTTTTTTTAGGTCACAATTCGCAACAAATAGTTGTTGCTCGGAATTGTTGACTATTTGGAGGATGCAAGGATTTCATATGCGTTTGCAGTTAGGCAGGATATCTCATAGACACTTACTTATGTTAGAAAAATAAGATGTCAAAGACTTGGAAGATGAGACCGAACATCTAATTATGGAAGCTGGTGTTACCAGACTAACAATACTTTCATTAGACAAACTGGAAGGAGGATGAAAGGTCTGAGGTTCACAACTCTTAGTTCTTTAGGG